TCATTTTCCCCCCATCCCCACCCCTGGCAACAACTGATCTTTTTACTATCTCCATGATTTTGCCTTGTTCAGAATGTCATATAGTTGGTATCATACAAAATGTAGGTTTTTCATCTTAGTTTGTTTTACTTAGTAATAAGTATTTAAGTGTTCTTTATGTCTTCTTACAGCTTAATAGTTCATTTCACTGCACACCACCTACTGGGGATCAAGCCCGTAACCTGGGCATGTGCCCTTGAGTGGAATTGAATTGATGATGTTTCGGTGCTCAGGATGATGCTCTACCAGCTGAGCCACACAGTATCTCTTCACAGGCAGTGTCACTACTATAGTTCAGAATAAAATTTTCTTTTCATAGGACTACTTTAGGGGTGTGTTAATCTACCTGCCTGTAATAGGTATCTCTCTCTCTCTAGTTCTGCTTATAAAGTGCTGTCGTATTCACTTGCTAAATATCATCTCTAGTATTTTACTTTTCCATCCAACAGCTGTCAGAGGCTTTTGTCTAATAAATAAAACTTCTTAGCTTGAAGATCTTACTTCAACCTACCATGCAAACAGAATTTTCTTTTGCTATTATCCTTCATGCCCCCTTCTTTCCAGACAAACCGAATTTTTATTTATTTTCTCTGTCAGCCTTATGTTTTCTTGCACTTACCTCTCAGGATTTTTCATCATTATTCGTTGTTCTGACAACATGATATATCTAGTCAATCTCCATGCCACTACCTCTTCCTCCTGTGCACTTATACCTGCTTCTTCTTTTTCATCTATTCTGTCACTGCCCTTGGGCTCAGCAGTTCTCCAGTGTTTCTTGCAGGAACCTCTTTTCTTTTCTTTTTTTCTCCAAAAGTTTTCTTTATTCAAATACTATATAAGATTTTATTTTATTTTTATTTAAATTCTTTATTGTTTAAAGCAGTAGTTCTCAACTTTCTGGCCCTTTAAATACAGTTCCTCATGTTGTGACCCAACCATAAAATTATTTTCGTTGCTTCTTCATAACTGTAATGTTGCTACTGTTATGAATCATAATGTAATTATCTGTTATGCAGGATGGTCTTAGGCGACCCCTGTGAAAGGGTCCTTTGACCACCAAAAGGGTCGTGACCCACAGGTTGAGAACCGCAGGTGAAGTATTTCATGAGTCTCCTTTTCCCCCCATTGATCTCTCCCCAGCCATTCCGACTCCCCAGCACATGCCCTCACCCCCCTGCTGTCTGTGTCCATTGGTTATGCTCATATGCATGCATACAAGTCCTTTGGTTGATCTCTTACAACTGCCCCTTCCACTCCTCCCACCTTCCACCTTCCGTCTTAGGTTGGACCAGGGGTGGGCAAACTTTTTGACTCGAGGGCCACAATGGCTTCTTAAACTGGACCGGAGGGCCGGAACAAAAGCATGGATGGAGTGTTTATGTGAACTAATATAAATTCAAAGTAAACATCATTACATAAAAGGGTAAAGTCTTGTATTTCAATAGTTTTATTCATTTCAAACGGGCCGGATCCGGCCCGCGGGCCATACTTTGCCCACGGCTGACAGTCTGCCCCATGCTTCTATGACTCTGGCTCTATTTTTGTTCATCAGTTTATGTTGTTCATTATATTCCACAAATGAGTGAGGCATGTGATATTTATCTTTCTCTTACCAGCTTATTTCACTTAGCATAATGCTCTCCAGGTCCATCCATGCTGTTGAACTCCCTCCCTGCATACTCCTGTTGTAAAGATCTCTCTCTTGTGGAAATCTTAAGCTACCACTTTCCTGCTTGGGAACTTTTGTTTGTTCTTCATTTGCCGAAGCAAATTTTTTTCCTTCCTTTCTTCATTCCTTCCTTCCTTCCTTCCTTCCTTCCTTCCTTCCTTCCTTCCTTCCTTCCTTCCTTTCTCTCTCTCTCTCTCTCTCTCTCTCTCTCTCTCTCTCTCTCTCTCTTTCTTTCTTCCTTCCTCTCTCCCTCCCTCCCCTCCCTCCCTCCTTTCTTTCTTTCTTTCTTTCTTTCTTTCTTTCTTTCTTTCTTTCTTTCTTTCTTTCTTTCTTTCTTTCTTTCTCTTTTTTTTTTTTTCATGGTATCCAAGTCATGGCTTTTTCAAATATTGAGATATAATTGACATTTAACATTATATTAGTTTCAGGTGTACACCATAATGATTCGATATTTGTATGTATTTCAGAATGATCACCACAATAAGTCTAGTTAACAATCATCATCATACTTATTACGGCATTTTAATGTCTTAACTCTTGTTGTACCACCATCTTTCATTATGTACTTTTTGTGCTACTTGAACAAATTAGGTTGTACACCTCTCTTTGCTTTTTCACTCTCTCTTGGAATTTTTTCCTGTTTTGTTCATCTGAGAAATTCCCAATTCATTTTTTTTTCAGGTCTCACTGCTTCCCAGTGTGGGCTGAGACTGAGCCTCTTGCTCCTTCTCACAGTATTATGCTCAATTTCTCCTCTAAGTTCTGTGTGTGTGAGTGTGTGCTATTGCCTCAAATTTGTGACTGCATTTTTCTTCACACTCCCTTTCCATATCCTACTTTTTTATTTCATCTTTTAACTGCTGTTTAGACATGACCTCCTGAAGCTCTTTCCTGAGCACCCCAAATAGAGTTAATCCGTCTGTTTTTAAGTGTTGCAGTGTTACTTCTGCGTATTTCTTGATTGCTCTTGTCATGTTGTATCGCAAGTACTACTAGTATATTAAATGTCTGGCTTTCCTCTTAAGTGTGTATCCCAGCGACACTTTATTCATGTGTAGTGTATGTATCTCTAGTATCTAACAGAACAGAGGTGCAATGGATATTTATACATTTATAATTTGGTTGAATTGAAATAAACCTCAACATACTGAGGCCAAGTGGCTGCTCCAAGTCTCATCCCGATGGAGCAGTCTTCCCCACAGCAGTCTTTCCTGATGTTTTTCTTCACCATCACCCTGAACTAGGAATGATCCCACCTTTCTCCAGATGTCATAACACCTTGTGTGCCCCACTTTTTTGATACACACAACTGGCATTTTGATATTTGGAAGGAATTTTTTTTTTTTTTCCATCTGAACTGTCAGCTCTTTTAGGGGGAAATTTTAGTTTCTGATCTTTTTTTTTTCTCTTTTTTTAAAAATTGTTTTATTGCTTAAAGTATTACAAAGAGTATTATATATGTCTCCTTTTTTTTTTTCCCCCTTGACCTTCCCCTAGCCTCCCAGTGTCTTGTGTCCATTGGTTATGCTTATATGCATGCATACAAGTCCTTTGGTTGATCTCTTACCCACCCACCTCCAATCCTCCTACCATAGCTAAGATCTGGAAGGAGCCTAAGTGCCCATCAGCAAATGAATGGATTAGAAAACTGTGGTACATCAACACAATGTAATACTATGCTGCTGTAAGAAAGAAGGAACTCTTACCATTTGCAACAGCATGGATGAAACTGGAGAGCATTATGCTAAGTGAAATAAGCTAGTTTCTGATCTTTTATCTTTTATTAGAGGCCCGAATTCGTGCACGGGTGGAGTCCCTCAGCTTGGCCGGTGATAGGGACAGATCAGGGCTGATCAGGGCCAATCAGGGCCGGCCAGCCGGGGGGAAGGACTGTGGGAGGTTGGCTGGCCATGGGAGGTTGGTTGTAGCAGTGCACTGACCACCAGGGGGCAGCTCCTGTGTTGAGCATCTGTCCCCTGGTGGTCAGTGCACGTCATAGTGACCAGTTGAACGGTCATTTGGTCGCTTAGGCTTTTATATATATAGACTAGAGGCCTGATGCATGAAATTCATGCAAGGGGCTTGGCCCTCGAAGCCGCGGCGGCTTGCCTCAGCCCTTGCAGCCATGGTGGCTTGCGTTGGCCCTCGCAGCCCCGGCTTCATCCAGAAGGTCATCTGGAAGGATGTCCGGAAGGACATCCAGAAGGTCGTTCGGCTGTCTGGTCTAATTAGCATATTGCACTTTTATTATTATAGATAATACCTCATACATATTCTTTGCAAATACTAGAAACAAAATAAATATGGGTTAAATAAATGGCTTGGTGCATAAGATTTTAATGCTCATTGCATGGGAAATCAAAGAAATTTAGAACTTTAAGGAACTTTGGGATAATTTACTCTAAAAGTTTAATTTTACCTATATGGTATCAAGTTCAAAGAAGTTCTGCCCCTGTTTTCAAGATCTCAGCACTGAAGGAAAAAAAGTGAGGATACTAACCAAAGTCTCCTGATTCCAAGGCAATGCTTTTGTATATTTCTAATTATACTACTCTGCCTCTTTAATTGAGTAAAGTATCAATGAGTCTTTTTGATGCTTTAAATTGTAATGCCTCCGATTATTGACTTAATTTTTCAATAATAATTTGTAAATTATACAAAAGATCTTTGCTAAATAAGTATGTACAAAACAATGAATTTTCCAATTGGATTAATGATTTTTTAAAAGAGGATTATAACAACCTTAAAATCAAACCTAACTGAGGAATAAGATATAGAGCTATTACAAAATGAGATCTTCATATAAGCATATTCATTGTCATTTCTAAGAAATGACCTTATGAAGAAAACTACCCTTAGAACTAATTTAGAAATGGACCACATATTCAATAGCATTTTTTTTTTTCATTTTAAAAATCAGTACAAGTATGTGATTAGTCATACATATGAATATAAACCATAAATAATATCCACTTTGGTTAAGTAACCTTATTTATACCAGCAGACAAGTTTATTAATATAGCTCTCTGACTGATTTTGCATGCTCATTGATATTTATGTATTTTGCACATGTATACGTACAAACTATATAAATGTGTATAGCATCCATTTGTCACAGTTGCCATATAGTTTGATTCCCCCAGTGAAAAATTGAAAAATAGTATACGTCTTGAAAATTAACATTGAGGGGTAAGTAAGAACATGCCATTGTTTTGTGCTCTGGCCGTGCCATTCTCAGAAAGGCAGGAGCACAGTTTCTAACTGTCTTTTCTATATATTTTTCTATTGAAAGGTAAATAAGATCTGTGGTCATCCAATCAGAACACCCACCGAAAGCCCCCGTTGTTCTTTCGATGGGAGTAAAGAGAAGCTTAGAATGAAGATCTCTACAAGAAATGGTGAAGAGACGCTTGCCAACAGAAGAAAGTAAGACATTTGTTTTACAACCAGAAAGAGAAAAGAAAGTAAGCCATTAATTTTACAACAGAATAGAATGTATTCAATTAAGTAGAACAAAATACACTGTTGAGGAAACCTTTAAAATCCAATGGTTCCTTCTTATTCCATTAATGAGGAACATAGCTGCAACTTTTGAGGTCAATAAAACTTTCTGTGAAAGGGGCATTTTCTATAATAAATATGGCAGGCCCTGGGCATATGTGATCACCATGCCCTTAAAACGTTGCTCAGCAGATCTCTATGGCTTACTCCTCTTGCTGAACTGACGCTTTACGCACATTGATTAGTGACTCCCCATTTCCCCCTCCCTATGGTCAACAATATTGTTATGTACACTAGTAAATTTGTTAATAGGGTATATCTCCTGGTAAGTATTCTTATCACAATAAAATATAAAAAATGTAACTGTAGCTAGTGTGATTGAGGACTGAAGTTTTAATTTATTTCATTTTAATTAGTGTTGGTCAATATTCTATGCAGCTACTGGCTACTGTATAGGTCACTATAACACCAAAAGAGTATATATGTGAGTCTTAACTAGGGGTTAAGACTCTGCTAAGAAAGAGATTGATATAAAGACATTTTCATCCCTTTTACCTGGAATACTGAAAATGGCTATCTGTCTATTCAAAATGATCCAACATTGAGTGGCTTGCTCTCCTAACTCACGCTTCTACCATTATACCCATCACTAGAGGCCCGTTGCAAGAAGATTCGTGCAATAGACCTTCCTTCCCCTGGTGGCCAGCACCAGTTTTCCTCAGGAACCAGGCCTTTGGTCTGGCCACAGAGGCGAGGCTTGGCTTCTCTGTTCGGGCTGCAGCAGCGAGGCTTGGCTTCTCCGCTCCGGCTGCAGTGGAGAAGCCAAGCCTCTTCAGTCTTCTTCAGACTTTGCTCCATGCCTGCATATGCAAATTAACCACCATCTATGTTGGGTTAATTTGCATACTCATCCTGATTGGCTGGTGGGCATAGTGGAGTGACACCAATTTGCATGTTTCTCTTTTATTAGTGTAGATTATTTCACATGTTAAATCAACCTTCATTAGTATCCCTTTGCTACATAATGGGCAGTTACTGAAAAACTCTTAAAACTGGAGGAAACTATTATTTAATTTTGTGTTCAGTTGACCAGTGTATGCCCTGGCAAATACTAGATTCTCAGTGCATGTTTTGTATTAGCTGAAATTCACAGTTTTATATTCATTTATTAATTCAAATAATTTCTAATAATACCTTAGGGATCATTCAATATTTTACATAGCTTACTCTCTGTAATGAGAAATTTGTTTCTTTCCTTTGGAGGGTGCTCCTAAATTGTCCCAGTCTCTCCTCAGATGGGCTATAAGTTTTGAATAAGATCTGGGTTATTGCTGGGTTATTTCTTGTAAACAAAAAAGAATTAACATTTTACATGCAAAATACCTGTCCTTTTTCTCTCTAAATATCTATGGTGATCAGCAACTATGTCTCGTGTTTGATGAATTAGTATGCTTTGGATGGGGTGTTTTTAATAATAAAACCCAGCTTAAAGGTCATGCCTGTTTCACTACCAAAATAATAAAATTACTGGAAAACCAAAACAAAGCCCAACACTTAATATGGTTTATTCACTAGCAAAACTAAGCCAATGCGGTGAAATGTTACAAAATGTCTCAGTAATAATGTGGGGCTCAAATGAGTGGAAAATTTTATTACTATCTTCTCTGGCCATCAGGTAGACCACTTTGTCACCAATCTTTCATTTTCATTATTTCTATGCCCTTGACCAGAGGGCCATCATTAGCCATTGCCTACAAATCAGGATAGACCTATCACAGAACAGTCTCATGCCCCACAAAATGAACAACCATAGATACTACAAATGAGCCCACTTAAGTATTTCATTTTTTACACTTCTTTAAAATATATCTTTTATTGATTTCAGAGAGGCAGGGAGAGGGAGAAAGAGATAGAAATAGCAGTGATGAGAGAGAATCCTGAAACACCCCCTAATGGGAACTGAGCCTATAACCTGGGCATGTGCCCTGACCTTGCATATGCTGTAACCTCCTGGTTCATAGGTCAGTGCTCAAGCACTGAGCCACACAGGCTGGGCAATTTTTACAGATTTTTTACTGCCACTCCTGAATGGAGCTTAATTATTTATCCCCTCTTGCCTTCTTTTGAGTTTAACAGGTATTTCAGTATTTATTATTCTTTTTATCCTCAGAGCTTTATGATCTTTTTTTTTCCTTTTGTTGTTGCATTAATATCACCCAAGAATATTTGTTGGTTTCTAGAGAGTGTAGAAGGGAGGGAGGGAGAGGGTGTTTGAGAAAGAAACATTAATGTGAGAGAACATCGATTGGTTGCCTCCCACATGCGCCTGAATTGGGGCCGGATCAAATCCAAAATCCAGGTATATGCCCTTGACTAGGATTCTAACCTGGGACCATTCAGTGAGCAGGCCAGTACTCTAACCATTGAACACACCAGCCAAGACGTGTTTATTACTTTTTAATGGCTATCATAGAGATCACAATATGCACTTTTAGTTTTACCATATATTTTAAATTAGAACTCTTGCCACTTTATTAAACAATGTAAGAATCTTAAAATAGTTTCACTCTATTACTCTCTTCCTATCTTTTGTACTGTTTTGTCAACAGATCTTACTTCATCCAACATTTTAACAAGCCCGAAGATGTTGTTGTTCTTTTTAAATACTAGTAGTCCCTATTTATGTACAATTCTTCACATATTTTAATTCTTTTTGGTGCTCTTTTCCTAGTTCCATGTATCCATCATGAATCATTTTATTTTAGCTTTAGTATAACTTTTATTACTTATTACTGGTGATGAATTCTCACAGCTTTTTTTGTCTGAACATATTGTCATCTTTTAAAGAATATTTTTAATAGATCTAGACTTCTAAGTTGTTGCCAGTCACACCATATTTAAAAGAACAGATGTCCAGGCCACAATGAAGTTCATGACATGACACTCTGTAAATAGCAGGGGAGGTTTAGTGGAAACACTTAACATGAGAGGTAACTAAGGTAGTAGATGCTGTGGGGGGGGGGGGGCTGCTTGACTCCCTTCACCTGGTCCTTCTACCTGCCTCCTGGCTGCTGATCACTCACAGTTGCCCTCTGCTCTGGGGAACTGTCCTCAACAGACAGGAGCCATCTGATCTGTTACCAACTGCTGCCTAACAAATCATTCCCAAACGAGTGGCTTAAAAGTGACAATAAGCATTTATTATGCATTTTCTGGGGGTCAGGAGTGTGGGGCTGCTTAGCTATAGGATTTTGACTCGGGTCCCTAGGGAGATGGCTGTCAGGTTGTCAGCCAGGATAGAGTCCTCTGAAGGCCTCAGGGGGACGGATTATCATTTCCCAGGACGGCTCACTCACACGGCTGTTGGCAGGAGGCCTTGCTTTCTTGTCACAGTGACCTCTTCATAGGACTGCTTGAGTTTCCTCTCAGTGTTGAGGCTTGTTTCCCGCGGGACAGGCAATCCAAGAGAGAGCAAGGCTGAATCTACAGCACCTTTCATAATCTAGCTTCAGAAGTCTCCCACTGTCATCTCCGCAGTATTCTGTAGGTCACACAGGCCCGTCTGCTCAGTGTGGATGGGGACTACACAAGGGCATGGAAGGAAAGATTGTTGGGGATCATCCTAGAGACTGGCTGCAGCACCATCTCATCCTGGGGGAGGGGCCAAACTCCCACCTGCCTCACCCCTTGGAAGCATCTCACATGGCTGGCATGGGAAGAAAGGCTTGTTTCTTACTGTAGGTGACGGGACCAAAGACGTGATGGTTTCATGCTTCAGCGCTCCCGGTGGAGTCTGCCTGAAGCTGAGACCACATCCCTGCCTCATGTCTTCCTGCCACTCTCCCTGGCCTCCCTCATGACCTTTTTCTTAAGAGCAGACCCTTCATGAAATTGACTGCATCCAAATTCCCTCCCATCTCAGGCACTGCTTCTAGGGAACCTGACCTGGAGATCTTTGAAAAAGTACCTGCACTGAGGGCAGGGCAGTAAGTGCAAAATAATTGTAAACTAAAGCAGAAGTATGGTATCTTATCCTAATGATAGATATTTCTCTATACTTCCCAAGCTTCTAAAAAATTACAAAGAACCCCCCACATTTTGTTTGTATATCCTCTCCTCCCCTCCTTCTACATTCATTTTATAGAGAGCCCTTCTGTTTAGTGCACTGCATTTTCCTTGCTTTATTTCTAATGTTTGAAGAAGAAAATTTCCCTTAATCAAGTCTGTCCCTGGATCTAAGAGTTGTGCTAAACTTGCTCGTGGAGTAGATCTTTTAGCTTGGAAGGAGGGTGGCCAAACCAAAGCATTGAATTGTCTTGATTATATTTTGGAGATGTGATTGTAGTCATTCTTCTACACTATTTTTTAAAAATGTATGCAACATACATATAATTAGCTAATTGAAAGCTTTGAGTTGATACACACCAGTTACAAAGATCTCCAAAAGTTGAGAAAGGCAAGGAAAAGCTTTCTCTCCTTTACACATCCAGCAAAGCATCACTGTTTAGCCTTTTGGGGCAGGAACCAAATCAGCGCCATTATAGAGGACAGCAGTCATATAGCTGTCTAAACCAGCCCAGGCAGTGATTTCCCTGTGGCAGTTCCTCTCTCTGCTTGATTTCTTGAAGTTAGCTGGTAAGAATAAGCCATTAGCAAGCTTAAATCGGTGATAATTAGCTGTACATTATTATTTCAAAGTGGCGTGGCTGTGCCAATTAAGTGGGTAATTAGGAAAACCCCAGGACAATAAATTAAGACAGAGAGTCTCAACACCAGTGCCCCATCTGTTCTCCAGCAAGCCTTCCAATTAGCCAAGCTTCTCATTTAAGAATGCACCAATTAAGGGGATTGGCTGCATGCACAGGTGTGTATTGAGGTAACAGAGACTGTCTTAGGTACATAGTAAAAGATATTTGTTTAATATC